AGTCTTGTGGCCAGTAGTTTCATACCCACTCTGAGGCTTAGGTCTCACTGCTGGGACAGGCTGACTGCTCCAGAACTCCATACACTAACAATCCCCCACACTGCCCACGGCGAACTTCATGCACTGTGGAGTGTGGAGACCAGGTGTGAACACGGATGAGTGAGCTCTGGAGACAGAAACCAGATTCTAAAGGAACCCGATTATCACTCCGGGTTCAGAGAGCCAAGATAAGTATCTAAAGTCCCAAAGCATTTGAGGGACACAATCCCTTAGTTTGGCGGGCACTGCACTCTGTAGGTACAGTGAGGAAAAGAGCTGCCAAGGAAAGAGACTTGCTCAGATGCAGACCAAATGGTAGGCTCTGGAGTGAAGGGAGGGGAAAGGCAGAACTCAGCATTTCCCTGAGCTGAAAATGAAGCTGCCTGGCTAAGGATTCGGTCTGGGACAGGGAAAGGGGGACACATGAGAACTAAGTTTGTAACTCTGCCGCACAAGTATGCAGTTTCTTATCAACTGGATAGATTTATAAGGACAAATCACTTAAAAGAAAACAAAAGCACCTGCTTAGAAAGAAAGTGGTTAATATGAATGTACAATTTAGCTTCACTAATAACTACAAGTTAATATGAATGTACAATTTAGCTTCACTAATAACTACAAGTTAATATGAATGTACAATTCAGCCTCACTAATAACTACAAATTAAAGTGGCCAGTTTTCCTGTCCAAATGCAAAGGCTCTTAAACACCCCACAGGTCCCTCCCTAGGCTCTCTCTTTGGAGGCGAGGGATTCGGCAGAGAGCCCTTACAGACCACACTCCGTGGGAAAGCAGCGGCTGTTTGAATTGAGGGCTCACTGTCTAGCAGGCTAAGGCCGGCAGGAAATGAACCCACTGAGACGGAGGTTATCATTTCCTGCAGAAAAACCAGGACATAGATATTCTCACTTCCCCTACAATGGCCCTTTGAAAGATGCAGGGTCACCCTGGGACAGGACTGTACATTAAAAATTAAAAAGTGAAAAACAAAACAAAAACCAAAAGCCTTCTCTGCAGTTCAGTCTGTGAGAGGCAGCGGCCTGTTTAAAGCCCCTGTGTTCAGTGTCTTTGCAATGTGGGGTGGGCATGACTCCACAGTGTGCGTCTTAGGATCCCCATTCTGTGAGAAGGGGTCCTATGCAGATGGGCCCTCAGCACACTCAGTGCCCCCACGGGACAGACAGTCCAGTGCCCCCACGGGACAGACAGTCCAGCGTCCCCCAAGGTCAACATCAGCTGACATGGATCAGCTTGTCCTCGTAGAGATTCCTGCTCTTGTTGTAGGGACAACCTCAAGAGCATAGCCTGCATGCTCCTTTGGTCTTCTCAGAGGTAGAAAGGATGACACATTCTTCTCGGATAACGTTCTTAAGTCTTTGTCCACAGAAGAAATGTTTCTAGAACACCAGCTCCAGGTCAATAAAACCTATTCAGCTCCAACAGTCGGTGGGAAGCCAGCCTCGGCTGTGCCCTGTGGGGCGTGTTACTGTCTCCCTTCAAGCTTCCTTTGACCTTTCGGAAACCAGGGCTGTTTCACTCTTTCAAATATCCTTCTGAGAAGCACTCATTTGTAAAGTGCTCCTTCCTTGCACCAGGAGTAAAACAGTGCCCATCCTGGGAGGGTCAAGACCAAAATAAAGATGTCCAAACACAATTTATTTTTCATTGCTTTTCCTTGCCATTTCCTGGCGCTCAGAATGTACAGCCCAATCCCCCTTCTTGTTGTTGTACCAGGTCTTCATAATATATCACTCTTCATTAAAATGGGACATTGACCCCCAGACCCATCTTAGTGCTCTTTCTATCACTGGGATAAAGCAGACGACCAAAAGCAACTTGAGCAGGAAAGGGTTTATTTTATTTTAGTTTCTAGCTCATCACTGAGAGATGTCAGAGCAAGAGCTCAAGGCTTCCTGGAGGCAGGAACTGGAGAGGGGTCACTGGGAAACACTGCCTACCAGCTTGCTCACCTATGGCTCACTAAACCTGCTTTCTGGTGCCACCTCAGATCCTCTGCCTGGGTGGCACGACCCACCATGGGTTGAACCCTCCCACTTTAATCACCAACAGGGAAAATGACTCACAAAATTGCCTACACGTCAACCTGATGGAGGCTTTTCCTCAGCCCCGATTCCTCTTCCCAAATGACCTGGCTTATGTCAGGTTAACAACGACAAACCTAACCAATGCACCCCTTCTTTGAGAATGTATTTCATACTCACCTGGGGACACCATAAATTTTATAAGCACACACACATGCATACATACACAGGGGAAGACGTACATATATGCACACAGAAGAACACCAACATCTAATAAAATGCATATATCATTGCCCTATTAACCTGAACTACTGGCCCATCAGGCCCAGGCTCAGTTTCCAACACCCATATAGGTGAAGGATGTTGCAGAAAGTATCTCATTAGAAACAGCAAGAATTTTCTCTTCACTGCAACATGATGAAAAATTAATTATAATAATTACCCATTTTTTTCCATGCTTTGGGACAAGGGAGTCCAAACTCAAATGCAAAAGGCTATGCTTGAGCAGAATGCAGTCCTCCTATTTGGAACCTGTACTCCCCACTCCACCATGGGTAGCTTTTCAAAGACAGCACAGGTGAAAGCAGCCAGAGACCATTGAGGACCAAATCAGGCCAGCCTCACCCAGAACAGTCATGAATATGGCCCAATACACTTACAGTCACATGTCACACTGCAGAGTCAAAATATTACCAAAAGAGAATGGAAGGGAAGGAGGGAGGGAGGGAGAGAGGGAGGGAGGGAGGGAGGGAGGGAAGGAGGGAAGGAAGGAGAGAGGGAGGGGAGAAGGAAGAAAGGGAAAGGAAGGAAGGAAGGAAGGAAGGAAGGAAGGAAGGAAGGAAGGAAGGAAAAGCACTCTGTTCTCAAAGGTGGCAAAGAAAAGACTGGGTGGTGCAGCTTACAGCATCATCCTTGGGAATGGTTGTAAAGCGTGAGGAGTTTCAGATCGGGATGCAGGTTCACTCTGCCCTTAACTCTGAGTTTAAGAAACTCAGGACCCTCGGCTTCTTTTCCTAGAAGCGGAGCTGCAAACCAGGACACTGACCCTTCAGGACCTATGCAAGAATAAAGTCAAAGCCTGTGAGAAAGGCTGAGGGTTCGGAACACCCTAATTCACCATGACTGGACATCAGGAAAGAGTGACATTACACACCTGCGCCACAAAGTCCTTCTCATCCCTACCCCGCCATCTCCTCGGAAACACGGCGAAGTGTGTGATTACTCTGATCTTAGGTGGAGGAAATCAGTATTGGGGGAAGTGTAAGCGACTTGTCCAAGGCTACACGGGTGAGGAGGCAGAGCCAGAACTGGATGAATGTCTTGGCTCTTTGTTCTTCTTCACTCTGGTTAGGTTATGAAGGCAAACAAGGAGGGGCTTCAGGTACGACCTCCGTGTACGTGACGAGCACAAACTTAGATCAGATCTGTGCGTGACCTTAGATGAGTACTAAAGATGCTTTGAGGAGTCTGGAGGATATACCGCAGTCCCAGACAGGTGCTTAACATGTGTGAGGCTCGGGGTTCAATCACACGCCAATCACACAAACAGACAAAAGAAGAGAGATGATACAAGGCAGGGGAGAACGCCATAGGGGAAAAGGGTGACCCACAGTGTGGGTCCTGATCCTCCATCTCCTTTCAGCAAATGACAGAAATGCAAGTGACGCTGTGACCTAGTTCCAGTCCCTGTGTTGAGCTCACAAGCTTCGAGTTTCATACTTGAAGTGGTATCAATGGATTACTTCCCCCTGACTTTGCCACCTTTGGTCACGTCCTGGAAAGTGCTCCAAAACAAACACAGCAAATTCTGGAAAGCCATAGGAAGGGTCTGATTTCCTTGCTCCGTGACGGGAAGGTATGCAGGGAGATGATTGGGGTAACGAGAACAGCAGCCCGAGATGTCACATCAAGTTCTGTTGGGGAATAATACAACACACATGTGCACGTGGGTATGTGCATGCGCGCGTGCACACACACACACACAGAAACACAACCGTTCTCTGATGTTGGTCACATCAGCACTTTCTCCGGGCAGGAAGTCAAACACTTTTGTGTTCTCCTCTCTGGGATGGGGAACTTTCTCGCTGCTCACATTTTGATCCAGGAATCAGGCTGGGCAGTTGAGAACAGCAGGGTGGAAAGCACAGAATGGGGTGGGGGAGGGGGGAACTGTCCCTGTGGATTAGAAACAGTCTTGCCACAGAAGGTCCTTGCCAAATAGGTCTACCCAAAGTCCTCACATCCGTGCCTGAGGCAGGTACTCAAAAACACTTAAGGAACCAAAACTTGGTGCAAGAATGCAGCAAAACAGCGGTAAACTATGAGTATGTGTTCACACGTGAGTCTAGGTATGAGTTCATAGGTGAGCCTAACGAGGTTCAAAGCGCCACATACCATCCGATGAACTTTTCCAACTGTAGTCACTGCCACCTGGAGCTAACTCCCCAGAAAACTCATTCCTTCCTACAGGGCTACCTGTGGACCCAGAAGTTTTTGTGTTCCCAGCATCAAAGGCTGAGAGCTCTCCACACCCTCTCCTCTACCCAAACGCTGTGCCCCTCACCCATGCTGGGCCACTCCTTTTCAGCCCGTGGCCCCCCACAGGCCGCGGGCTGCCCTGACCGCAAGGCTTGGAGCACCCCGCTCCGCCTGCCATCCCCATCATTCGGCACGCCGCCGCGCGCGCTCCCAGCCCAGTTCCTTCCAGGCAGGCGCCAACCAGCAGCAGTGTAGGCAAGGAGGCTGTGCCCGATGCATGTTGCATAGTCTCCCACCCCGATGCCTTGGCCAAAGGAACAAAAAGGAAGCCGACGCCAGGAAGAGACTAGCGGGCTAAGGATGCGGCGGGACCGCGGCGGGCTTCACGCCTCTGCGCACCAGGCGGGCGGAGCTCGCAGACGGCCCGCAGCCGAGCGGTTACCTTGAGGATGCAGGCCATGGCGCTATGGATCGACCCTGTGGCTTGCTGCACCCTGGCCCCGCAGCGGGACCACTCCAGTCCACATTCCCGCAGAGCGAGCCGGGCCCGCGGGAGCTGCGCGCCCAGGCTCCACCCCCGAGCCTCGCCACTGGCTGGCGCCTCACGAGGCCCCGCCCTGAGTCACGTGCCCGCCGTGCGGCCCGCAACTGCCTGCTACTCTGCTGCTGCTGTGCTACTACTTGGCTTTTTTTCTTTTTTTTTCTTTTTTTTTTTTTTTAAAAAAAAACTCCTTCTGCAGATCAAGCTCTCCAAAGCCCCGCCTGAAGCAGACCCGGATCTTCGCACCCCACCCCGAGGACAGAAGGTGGCCCTTCCAGCTGCTCTCACCCATCAGGGAATCCGCAGATGTGCCACTTTCCAAAAAGTTAACTGTGTTTGGCACCGTCGCGCTACAGGCGTGGGGCCCATCAAAGGATTCTTCGAAAGCAGCTGGAAGTGCCCGGGGCTAGCCCTTGGCACCGCAGAATTCCGTGGAGGGCTTCTCTTTCCATGACTGATTGATTGGCTGCCCGTCAGAAAGCACGAACAGCTAGAGAAACCGAAAGACTGGACACTCCAGGTCTACGCTGAAGAAGTCATACTCCTCACACGACGTGGCATGTACACATGTGTAGCATGCGTATAAACATATGCAATTGTGAATGTTGTGTCCTGTTGCAAGGGAGTTAGTAAAATGTCTATATACATAACGATACAGTGCACACTGATCACGCACTTACATACAGCACGTGAGTCACAGGTCTTTGCCACTCACTGCTGTGGTCTTAGAATTTAGGAAAACTCAGTTGGAATTTCAACAACCAAGTTAAGTATTAGCTTTCCGCTTAAGTTTGGACATCTAAGAAGGTCCTTTTCAACTATCCAACCTGAACCGACACATGTTAAAAACAAAGGGCACTGTGGTAGATTTACCCAAGAGGTCCCTAGTCCTCTCTGTGTCCTAAGTCTGTGTGCAACACACACAAGGAAAGGCTGCCTCCCCAAACCCGCCCAGCTAAGGGAACGCTCATTTCTATAAGGAGAGGACATGCCCAGAGGGCACAGATTTCTGCCTCCCAGTAGTGAAAGAGATCTTTAAATTATCTCCCAAAACATCTACCCTGAAGAACCCTCCCTTGGCAGATGACCTAGTTAGCTGGTTCCCAGGGAGTCAGGAAAAGCACATGGGTTGCTGGTGACTGAGGGTCATGAGTTGGCTCGCACACCATCAGACAGGAACCAAGTGTTCACGGGAGTTGGTGTGCTTTCGAAGAGGACATTCAACACTCTGAGAGACGGTGTGTGTGTGTGTGTGTGTGTGTGTGTGTGTGTGTGCGCACAGCGAAGATGCTGGAAAAGCCAGAGGCCTGTCCAAACTGCCTGCTTCCAGGCAGCTGTCTGTCTCCTGGGAGACTGCACTCTGTCCTGTTGCCCCTTTGCCCATCCCACCCTCAGCTTGGAAGACTGTATTTTATAAGGCAGTCTGATGAAGAGCTTTAACAAATGGTCTTGGCGGGTGTGCTGGTTAGTTTCATGTCAATTTCATGTCAATTTGATGTAAGCTGGAGTCCTGGAGCGAAGGAAGCCTCAATTGAGAAAATGGCTCTGTACGATCAGGCTGCAGGCTAGCCTTCAGGGCATTTTCTTAATTAGTTTTCTACAGGAAAACAAGATGAGCAAGCCATGATGAGCAAGCCAGGAAGCAGCACTCCTCCATGGCCTCGCATCAGCTCCTGCCCTGGGTTCCTGCCCTTTCCCCAAGTTGTTTTTGGTCATGGCATTTCATCACAGCAATAGCCAGGCCAGGAAGACTCCACAGATTCATTTGCTCTGGAACAGGACACTTACGCCACCAGGTGGATGTGGAGGTCAGAGGACAACTTGTGTGAATCGATTTGTTACTTCTACCAAGTGGGCCCCGAAGATTGAATTTAGGCTGTCAAGCTTAGGGGCAAGTGCCTTTGCCCCCGAAACCATCTCCCAGACCCCACATTCATTTGTTCATTCATTCATTCGTTCACGTCAGGTTGTTGTGTTTTGTTTTTTCTGATTAGCTAAAGGGAAAATCCTTAAGTTACTGCAGGACCTTTCAGCTTTAAGAGATTGGTTTTGTGGTCTCTGATATCATGGCAAAGTCATAAGTCATAGTAAGGAGGGAAAGGTGAGAGTTACAAGGCAACACAACACAGCCAAGGCCTCACCACCAGGCAGCAAGCAGCTAACCAAGAGGAAAGGCGAACATACGTACAGATCATCACATGGATTGGACAGGCTCTATTCGGCAACATAGGTATATACATATAGGCATATAATGCAATTAAATTTTAGAAAGAAGCCGTGAGTTTGAAGGACGGCAGGGAGAGGAGTATAGGAAGGTCTGGAGTGAGGAAAGAGAAGGGATAAACTCTGTAACTATAATCTCAAAAATAAAAAATACCCCTCCAAAAAAGGGCAAAGGTTGTTTGAGCTCCCCACTCCCCAGAAAATCTGCAGGACATCTGGGAAGGGTAGGCAGACTGGTGACCTTTGCCTGGAGACCTCGTTCAAACCTACTCCCTGCAGTCTTTATACGACAGCATACGGAGCATTAGCAGAGTTAAGTGAACTAACAAAGGTGAGCTCATTCACCTCAATTCCTGGAACAATGGCCACTTTTAAATGATAACAAGTGATTTAAAGGAGAAGACTCTTGCTGAAGTTATAAAGACTGCAGTTGAAGCAGAGAACAGATTTTGTCATCCTTTACGTCTCAGAAGGACGCTGCTCGTGGAGCAGTGAGCACACGTGACGT